TTTGGTGACATTTTACCAGCTGAACTGTCTCCAATGGCCATCAGCTTAACCGAGCTGCATTCAGCCGTAAAGTTTGTTTTTATTCGAACTTGAGCAGTTTTCTAGTTGTTCTGCTGAGGTAGTGACATCAATTTGTGACATCACACAATATGATGTCACAAAGAGTGACAAAAAGCTGCACTCTTGAATTCTACGTCATAACTAATGCAGAACCAGGAGAGAAAGGACAAGGATTAACCACAAGTCAGAGCAGCAAGATGTCGTCTTCTGACTCAGAGGAAGAAGAAACACAACAGATGTTAGCGATAGAAACGCAGAAGCTCCGTGAAATCTTGGAAGATGTTGGCAGGATGGCCATTGAGACACAGTCACTAATTAGAGCAAATGAGGGATTAAAGATTGAAGTAGTGAACTTAAAACAAGCAGCACTTCAAAAAGACAAGCTTATTCGGGATAAAGACGAAGAATTTAAAATGCTGATTGACAGAAACAAAAATTTAGAAGTGGATTATGCCACACTGGAGAAGATAAGCACAGACATAGAAAAGAAAAATATCGAATATGACAAGGAAATCACCACCCTGAAGCAGAAATTCAGGGATCTGGATGAGGATAACATCAACCTGAAGCTGAAAGTCAACACTCTGGAGGAGAAAAACACCGCCCTGGAGCAGGAAAACACCGCCCTGAAGGAGGAAAACTCAGTTTATTCCAAGGAAGTCTCTGACCTTAGGCAAGAAAGGACGGTTCTGGATAAGGAAAACACTGTCTTGAAGAAAGAAAATGCCGCACTGAAGAAGGAAGAAACCACGATGAAGGAGGAAAACAACGCGATGAAGGAGGAAAACAACGCCCTGCAGCTGGAAAAATCTGACTTCGAGCAGGTAAACAACCTCTTGGAGGAGCAAAACGCCAACTTGGAGCTTGAGGTAGAAGAGCTGAACAAAAGGCTGAGAGACATAGAGGAACAACAAAACCAGCAGCCATCTGAAGAGGAAACCCCCAAAGAAAGCCAGTGGGTTTCAGACGAGCCACAGAAGAAGCCACATCCATTCAGACGTGTGATAGGAGGCGTCTGCAACACACTTCTGAAAATGTACCAATCAGGCACTCTAAGGTATTGGGTCGAAAGATGGTACTTCTAAATGAAGAAGTGAACCTCCAGGGGTTCATAGCGAGTCCTGACCAACCTCGATGGCTTCGTAGCGAGTCCTGTTGGTCTACGGGCTGACCTCTAGGGCTTCATTGCGAGTCCTTTTGGTCCACGGGCTGACCTCTAGGGCTCATCGTGAGTCCTGTTGGTCTACGGGCTGACCTCTAGGGCTCATAGCGAGTCCAGTTGTTACCCGGGCTGACCTCTAGGGCTCATAG